CATTGTAACAACTATCCAATGGAACTTAAAATGGTTTCCCTGGCTTGGACTATTTGGGGCATATTTCTATCCTAGCCAAAAGAGGTAACAGCCTTATGAATTTCATTCTTCGTCATCATTTTTAGTGCCTGGAGTTCTGTTAAAAATAAAATGAATGCCTATATAGACATATGCAGATGTTTATATCGTGAAAATACTGAATATAATCTTAAATGTCTCTTTCAGAAAAGTGATAAATCTGTATGTTTGTAAAGTTTTAGAAATAACTCAACTTACAGTCGTGTCTTTAGCAGAAAAAAATGGATAGATACTTTTCTTTGGCTAATTAAATCAAAGAATAAAAATGCACAGATTATGCAAGTGTACTATTTGTACAAAGATATTTAAGGATACGGTTCTCTAACAAGAACAATTACATATTTCTGTAAAATGTCAGGTAGTAGTCAAAGATCTGAATAAGTTCTGCAGTCAAAATGATGTTATAAATGGTAAATGGTTAAATTTAAATGAACTATAAGGCAATTTCACTCTTAGACTCAGTGAATGAAGTGATCACTTCAGACTGAGGAAGACAGATAAGATTGAAATTTCTCCAGTGTGATATTTAAGTCTAAGTTTTTAAAATAAAAATGATTATGTGGGCTGGCTCGGTGGCTCAGCCTGTAATCCCAGCACTTTGGGAGGCCGAGGCGAGTGAATTTTCTGAGCCTGCGGGTTTGAGACCCACCTGGGCAACTTGGTAAGACCTCATCTCTACAATAAATAAAAACTTAGCCAGGTGTGGTATCACACGCCTGTAATTCCAGCTCCTTGGAAGGCTGAGGCGGAAGGATCGCCAGAGTCCAGCAGGTCGAGGCTGTGCCACTGCACTCCAGTCTGGGTGACAGACTGAGGCTCCAACTCAAAAAAAACAAAAAGAAGATTATGTGAAGAGCAGAAATCAGCTCCCCAACATCAACATGCAGTATTGTCCTACCCTGGTGTTTTCTTCTTTATGTACAATATGCAAATTATCTATTGAGTTCCTTCTGCAAGTGTGGTAGAGGACAGAACAAAAAGAGCCTCTGTCCTCTAGAACTCATTGTCAAGTAAAAGGACAAGTAAAGTACATGCATAAAAACTTTCACAAAGCTAGAGTAAGAAAGAATTGTGGAAGTGGTTCTGAGACAAATGCTGAGCTCTAACCAAGTTCAATTTAGGCAAGCGGGAGCTCAGGTCTGTCTGTAATTTTAATAGTAAGTGATAAATAAATCCATTGTTTGACTTCACTAAAAGGGAGGTGTAGCAGCCTAGATAATTGTAAATAATGAATCATCCCCAAATTTTAATTTCTTAGTTTGGAAAAAAGATATTATTTTTCTACAGTTGATTGATCTGTGTTTTACTAATGCCAATATTAAAATTATTTTTCCTTGTAAATGTCATCTGATGTTCAATAAAGACAGCTCACAAATTTTCTGAACATTAGGGCAGTGTGGCTAGAATTACAAATTGGTCATGGGTAATTCAAACAGGGAATGATCCATTAAGGATTAATATACAATATAACATCCCAATTTTTTGTCAAACTCCTAGCTGGGTCCTAGGCTGAGCAAAAGGAAGAAGGGACTCAGAGTCATGAACATCCAGAAGCGTGTAAGTGGGCTGACAGATGTGAATTGGTACCACATCTTACTCCTTGGCCCTCACATACAACAGACTCTCATAAATATTGTTTGAATTTGTTTATTACATTCCAAATAAAATATATCATTTTTGCATTATGCAGATTTTTGCCATATAATTTCTCCAAATTGTAAAGGGAGTGAATTTTTTTATATGTGTCTTAGAATTAAGTGTACTCCCTCGATGGGTGTTTGGTGTGTGTATGTATTAGCAACTCATGTTTTAAAACACTGAGTGAGCTGTCAGCATTTGGATGAATATCAAAATGCTATATATTAATTTCACTGTTCATGAAATGATAGTTTTCCTAAGGGTAAGAGAGAAGAGTTTAATCTAAAGCCAAGATTGTGTCAGTCTTATGAAAAATGACACAACTTTCTGTAATTATATTGTAATTAATATTTGGTATATTTGGATTTCAGCATTTGTTTTTCTTATAAACATCATGAATTTACCATACTAAAGTTGGCCTAGTTAGTCAACATTATTTAGTAATATATTGTTTAGCAGATTTTTTTTCAACTACAAGGAAAACTGATTACTTTTGCATTCCCTAGTTTTTATTCCTGACAAAATTAATAAAACATAAGCTTCATATGCCATATGCCCCTGTAATATTAAATTGTTCCAAAAATACATAAAAGAAATAAAAGTGGCAAATACATAAAATTTTTTATCTGTTGTGGAGAAGGAGTCAGAAAGATTTGGGGGAATAAGCCGGGCTCGGTGACTCAGCCTGTAATCCCGCGCCTTTGGGAGGCTGAGGTGAGTGGATTGCCTGAGCCTGCGGGTTCGAGACCTGCCTGGGCAGCGAGACCTCATCTCTACAATAAATCAAAAAAATCAGCCGGGCGTGGTAGCGCATGCCTGTAATTCCGGCTACTCTGAAGGCTGAGGCGGAAGGATCGCCGGAGCCCAGCAGGTCGAGGCTGCGGTGGCCGGGAGCGGCCACTGCACTCCAGTCTGGGTGACAGAGTGAGACTTCAACTCAAAAAAAAAAAAAAAAGATTTGGGGGGAACAGAATTGGTGACACATGCAGAATTTTTTTATACTAAACTTTTTGAAAATGAGTTACAATTATTTATACTGAATTCTGACAATTGCAATAAAATGAAATATATCTAAATGAAAGTTTTAAAAATATATCTCACTTTTTCTATTCAAAATAAAATTAAAGGGTGACATTATGCACATATGACATAAAAATGTAGCTTCTATGACAAAATTTTTAAATGATTATCTACAGAATAACAGTGGGTCTTCACAAGCACATCTGATGCTTTAGTGTAAAGGTGATCATCACTTTTTAGGAAAGGTCATATTATAAAATAAATACCAATTATTTTTAAATTAGATAACAAAAGAATTTCTTCTGGAATGGAGAGGTGAATTTACATTATTTGAATTTGTATTATTAACTTTCTCATTTATTCCAAACTATCTGAAGCATTATATACATAAGTTGATTACAAATATTTGGAAAATCTTTTGAAAATTATTGCCCTAGGCCAAGCTCAGTGACTCAGTCTATAACTTCAGCACTTTAGGAGGCCAAGGCAAGTGGATTGCCTGAGCCCACGGGTTCAAGACCAGCCTGGACAACTTGGCAAGACCTTGTCTCTACAATAAAATAAAAAAATAGCTGTAGTTCCGGCTACTCAGAAGGCTGAGGCAGAAGGATTGCTGGAGACCCAAAGGTTGATGCTGCGGTGGCTATGAGTGTGCGTGCCACTGCACTCCAGCCTGGGTGAAGGAGTGAGATTCCAACTCAAAAAGAAAAAAAGAAAAGAAAAGAAATACTCAAAACCTTTTGTTGGCATGTGTTGGTTCCCCAGTGTGAAGTGCTGTCATTCAGTCACTAGCAGCCAGTACCATGATGAATAAGACACATTCTGCTACAACTTAGAACCTGGCATGGGAAACAGATAATTACACAAATAATAACTTAAACGAACTAGTGGTGTGTACTTTAAAGAAGTCCAAGGCACTGTAAGACTGAAACAGACGTTCCTGTCTTCATGCAGCAGACCAGGAAGGGTGGAGCTGGGTTATCTGGACTCCATGTGGCTGTGAGGCGGACAAGGGACGGAGGGTATGGAATCCACTAGAAAACTCTTACAGATGAGCAAGAGTGGTCTGGAGAGAGTAGGAATGGAGAGAAATGGATGGACCCAGTTAAGATCTGGAGAGAAAGCTAACAGATTTGGCATGTGGATGTGGGAGAAAAGTTTGAGAGTAGAGTTTGGAGAATGAGCTCTGGATTTCTAGCATGAGCAGGAAGAGGGCGTAGCATGAGTGTGCAGGGTCAGACATGGTGGATGCGTATCTGATGGATGAGAATCTGATGGATGAGAATCTGGAGAGAGAGTCATGAGTATGTTAGCTGATGGCTGAACTTCCACGCCTGTGAGGTGGCTGGGCAGGCACGTCAGGAGGTGGTTGGACGAGAAGATCTGATGTGGCTCAGAAATGAACTGGGTCTGTAAACCAGGGGTTCTGAGACCAAGAGCATCTGTGTCCCACACGTGTGTGAGGTTAGAGTGAGAGGATGTGGACGAGAATAAAACACAACTAAACCCCCACATTTCAGGATTGAGTAGGGAAGCAGGAAGCAGCAGGAAAGACTAAGAAGTCGTAATCATTGCTGAAGATTTAAAACAGCAGTATCATCATTTTGTGTGAGTCAGAATTCCTGTATAATAGTAAATATCTGTAAGAATCAGGAGAATTGACTTCCAGATTAACACCTGGGATTTCCCAGGACTTTCTTATAACCTGAATAAAAAAGAAAAAAAAGAAAAGATTATTTTCCTACTACTTGACAAAAATATGAGAAAGCAATAAATAATGTCTATAATACTACAAGTTAAATGTTATTAATACACATATGCTTAAAACCAACACTACAATCATGCATTTTCTTAGATGTTACTTACAAAGCTTCTTTCAACTAGAAATGTAGTTTTATTATAGAATTTAAGTGTATAAAGAACTATTTTTTTCTGCTAGCAAACATTGTTACAATATATTTAGAGTAGTCTGGTGAAATGTGGTTCCAGTCATTGGAGGCTTCACTGGTAGTGAACATTTGGTCTTGCACCTGGTGTGGAACTGCTTTTTTTTTTTTTCTTTCCTGGAGTTAGCTGTAAAGATAAACCAGTCAAAGATGGACAATTCATCATTACAATATATTGCATAGCTTAACCTTAGAAGCACTCAAATTACTTTAAAGGTTTGTTTTAATCAACAGAATAGCTATTAATTTTCACAACATTCTTTGTGAAGCAGGTGTACTTGAAACCGTCTATTAACATGTATCTCTTTTTCCTCATAGGACTCCCTGGAGATACAAGGTCTCCAAGGTCCACCTGGGAAAGATGGTCAGAGGGTAAGTCCTCTTGGAACAACTGGTAGTCGTTACTAATTCAGGGTCTATTTATTTCTGAACACTAATGAAAATAAAACTAAAATATGGCGAGCAGATGGGCAAAACTATGCAAAGGCTGAAATTTGAGATTTTCACAGAGGTTTTACAATTCAGAAAAGTCTGTATATTTTCAAGATTGGCAGCACAAGTGTAGAGGTATTGTTTGAGTAAAACAAATTAGTCTTAATTTGATCTGGAGCACTTTGGTCATATCTTTAACTTTTAAAGGTTTCAAGGACTTGTCTACACTTGGGATTCAGTTGATGAGTATCTTGGTGGAGGTCCAGCCTGTTCATGAACTCTGTAAAGGTTGTAGATATTCCCTACACTCTTTATCTGAATTAATTATTGACATTAGTGACTCTGTAACTCTCCTTTCATCACCACTTATCGCCTTGAACTGGGATAAAATAGACAGTAAGTGAATAAATTATCATTGCAGTGGGAAGTAGAACAAAAACCTTCTCTCTTTAGGCCCATTCAGTCTCATCAACCCCCAGTAAAAGGAAGCCCTGAGGTAATGGGACAGCTGGTCAGCTTCATGTGAACACTGGGCACCCCATTCTTTGGTTTCTTGTTATTACCATTTTCAAATCATTTTAACACCTCAGAAAAACTTTGTGTGTGCTTTCTCCTATGAGTATTTACAAGTCTTTTGTGCTAAATAGAACAGGTATTGTCAACTTCCGGTCTCTTCTTGATGAGGATTCCATGATTTGGAGAATTTAAAGGACTTGCCTACAGTTGGACTTCTGACTTTAATCTTATGCTCTCTTTTATTGGATTTATATTAATCCAAATCTGTGTTTTACTCAGTCTCAGTTATTATCACTGATTCTGTTTCCTCAACTACATCAAAGTCCTTCAAATATTTGGGGGCCAGTGGTATATTTTACCAAGGGTTACTATTTGTTAGGTTATTAAAAATCTCAACTCTCTTATTTTCTTATCATATGGATTTCCTCAACATGCCAGTAGTCTCTCTTAGGAAACATTATTGACCTTCTAGAGGTTTCAGGAATGAGATGGATGCAGGTGGTCTCATTTAGGGCAGAGTAAAGTAAAATGTGTATGACCCAAGCCATAAACAATGTGGTTCTGTCGTGTCCTGGGGTTGGGCCAGTGCTTCTTTGTCTGGTACTGTAAGTTTGACTTTTACCGATGTGTGGTCAATCCAATGCCCTCCCCTTTGGTTTTTATAAAAACCGCTGCCAGGTCTTCCCCCATCTGGTTTTTGTACAGCGGCCTTTCTGAATCCCAGAGTAGGAGCTGATCCTTGTTGTCAAATGTCATCTTCTGAATTTGCAGTCCTTAATACCATTCTATTGTTTGGGGTTTGTTGATTTTAAAAAATTTGAATCCTGTTTGCCAACAAAATACTTTTCAGCAAAATACTTTTATGTGACCTTAAAATTTGATAAACCTACTGTAGGTCTTCATTCAAATTGCTGGTAAATCCCAGACGGAACAGGGCCTACAACCTAAGACCAGCCTCTGCTGCCATCTTTTCCACCATGATATTCTTGAAGCTTGATAATCAAATCATGTGCAAATGCATTTGAACCTTATCACCTCCCCACTCACAATTATTGATTTGGTTTGTAAGATAATTATGAGAGACCTGTCAGATACTAGTTGAAATGAAAAAATATTCAAATGAGATTTTTTAAATATAATAATGCTTCAAATTAAAATTGTACCTTATCAAAGCTTGCCATTTCATTACAAAGTGGGTTAAAGAATAAATTTAAGTTATGTATTTTTCATGATAATTATGAAGGAAACGATGCAAATTATAAAGTTCAGCCACTATTTTATGCAGATTTACTCTATGGATAAGTGTGTATAGTCCTGGTAATTTGATATTACTTGTATTTTGTCTTCTATCAGGAGTAACATAGTGTCAGAAACTAAAGAATGTGATTGAATTGATAGACACTGTTAGACATGGTTTTTCGTTACTGCTATGGCTCTTTCATTAATGCCCTGTTTGTCCGAAGTAGCTAGAGCAGGTTTTATTGACATTATCCACATTTAAAAATGATTCTCTCAGCACTTTGTTCAACCTTACAAGCTGCTTGAATGGGAAGCAAATACATTTAAGAAATGAGCATTCTTACAATGTACACGTAGGCCCATCTGAGCTCCACTGTTTCTGCTCAGCTCAAGAGTTAAGTAGCACTCAGCTCTTTTAGATACAGAAATGTATGTCTGTAGATTTATGTATTCTGAAAGCTAAGACCAATAATTTTTCCAATTCACTGAAGTTTGCAGCAGAAAACAACAGTTTTAGACAATCTATGAATTCGAAATTATTTTTTATTGACCTATGATTAGCAAAACTGTTAAATTTTGATTATGGATGTTTGACCATGAAGGAATTGACTATCATTGAGGTTATTACAATGAAATGTAAAACATGTGGCAAGTCTTATGCACTTTACTTCTAGGCATAATGACTTTAGTGAAAACAGAATATTTAATTTTAGATAAATCATAAACTTGTGCGTTTTCTTCAGTATTAAATACCACTCAAACAACATCACACAATTACGGTGAATTTCAAACATGATTGTCATTTTTAAACATGCCTTGAAAAATATCAAAAGCATCAGCTATGAAAAATACCAAACATTATAGAAACATGTTACTATTGCTACCATTATTTTTTATTAAGTCATAAGGATTCTGATACCTTTTCTTATCCTCTTTAAACTTTTGCGTAAAGTTTTCTGTGAGCACTACATACACTAAGCACTTTGTAACATTATTTCTATAAGCACTCTATAACATTATTTTTTTCCAAGTATCAAGAGTTCTGTTAGAGATTTGTACTAGTTGATTTTATTCTTTTGATTATCTTCCAAGCTGCTAAATCTTATAAGGTATTCATTTAATAAAATTTAGAAGCAATGTGCCTCTTGTACTTAGAAACTGTTCTTAAGCTTAACAAGGTTCTGTGACTACATGTGTCTGAAATCTGTGGACTTTCCCCCCCATTAACCTCCTGATCTTCTTTTTTGACTCTGTTTTTTGCTATTGTTTTTATTTTACTATCTTTTCGAAGCCCTGTCAGCAAAACATTTGAATGGCACACTTTTTTAGTCTCACGTCCTTTATGGATTAACGCAATTTTTAGAATTTAATGAATGCTGAATACTGTCCCTAGGCTGCAGGTAAGAATGTATCGGAGGAGTAAGGGAGAGCAGCGTGGGTGTGCCTGCCTGGAGGCCAAGAGGGATCAACACATGATGGAAAGAAGAGTCCAGGAGGGCATTCAGGCACTGCAGGTTAGAAACTCATGGAGGGTTCCACAGGATTGAAATTTGGAACACGTCAGTAGAGAGATGTTGGATAAGAGAAGACAAGACTGGAAGCAGAGCCAGTTGAGAGAGAAGTGTTGGCTGATAATGAGGAGGGCAAACCATGGGGAAGAGGTGGAGGGATAAGGACAGAGTTGGAGGACGCCCAGAGGAGGCTTTTGATGGAAATGGAGATTCCAGTTGACTGACCACGTCTGTAGGTATTTACAGAAAACATGGCAGAAGAACTGGCATTATGAAAATCCCCTCTAGATGAAGATTCCTTATTGGATTTCTTAATATTCCTAATAGACTCCCCTAATATAAAAAAATTATTTTAATGTAACCTTGGATTTTCTTTTATAACCACTTTAAATGCATGTCTGAATAATCTCAAGGCCAGTATGAAGCTATCCTGGTCTTTTTCAAAGAAACTGATCTAAATCCCTGAAAAAACATTTGTTGGAGAATCACCTAGTGACTGCCCCCACAGAAGTGTGTGCTGCACTCTGTTGCTGGATGCCAGTGCTGGTCCTAAACAGAAATCCCATGTTCTACGTTCCTTGTAATCCGCCCTCTCAGCTTACCCTCTGCCTGTGCCCTGTCCCTTCCCTGCCCAGGACCCACCACCAAGATTGCCTCCTTCCCACATTTTTGTGCAGATTTTACTTTCTCTTGAAATGCACGTTCCAGACAGGCTTTGAAGCTGTGTCTGGGGTCGAGATTCTTCACATTCTAAACCTCACGGGGACAGGAGCCTACTCAGCCCCTGCCCAATCAGGAGGTGCCCCTTTCACCAACCCAGACCTGATGGAGAAGGGACTGGGTTTTAATTTTGCTTGTCTGCTTGGTCCTTATGGCACAAGCAACTCAGGGAATTAGGTGGAAGTCCCAGCAGAGGTTCTGGGCCAGACTCCCTGAATCCACATCCCAGCTTTTCCACCCACCAGCTGTGTGATCTTGGGCAAGTTCTTCAGCCTCTCAGCTCTTCAGTCTCCTTCTTTAGAAGATGGAGATACAAGGGTACCTGTATAATCAACGTTTGTATACCTAACCCTGAATTGTACCCCACATATTTAAAACAAAACAAAACAAATTTTCTAAAAACAAACAAAAAAAGAAGACGAAGATCATAATGCTTCCCACCTGCAGGACTGTGATGAGGAACAGGTCATGCAGGGATCCCTTTTAGTCACCATTCTCACACCAGCCTGGCGATCTGAAGATGGTAGCAGAGGGAAGTCAAGCTTCAGAGTAGGAGGACTTGATTCAAGAGAATGTCTAAATGATCACAAAAGTTTATTTAAGGTGAAAAGACTGTTTCAGAGCTGCTCTGCAGAACTCAATTTATTTAACTTTTACCTGAATCTTCCTTATTGTATACGGATGCCCATGCCAATGTCCTAATGCTGCCTGAGGCCCAGCATTTCTCCAGCTTGATGATAAAATTAAATATGTAAAACAAAGTCTGCAAGGACAGAATCAATTACTTCCTTTTTCTTTTTTTAAAAATTTTTATTATAAAGATGTGGGATACATTTCAGGGTTAGGTATATAAACATTGATCAGGCACTTACCCTTGTTGATGAGGTATGCCCATCCTTCCCCTAGCAGTTTCCCTCAACTGTCAATCTCACCCTTCACCCCTGACAGTTTCCC